GTTCAAAAGCGCGCGGGCTCTCCCGCCCGTCACGGCCCCCTTCCCTCTGCTACCCATTTGCCCAGCGCGCTGTCACTCACCGCGAACCTCGCTCCCATTGGCCAAGGCGACGCGCGTCCCTTTGGACCCGCCCCACGGCTTTGCTCGCCGCGCACCGCTCACGGGGGAACTACAACTCCCGGCATGCCTCGCGCGGCACAGAGAGGCCTCCGGGCGGGGTGGCGCGCGGGGCATGCTGGGATTTGTAGGCGGTGTGTGGGGGGGGCGCGCCACCATGCACCTCCTGTGGCCCAAATCTTCCCCAAAACCACCAATTTTGGTGGACACTTCTTGTTTTCAACCCACTGTTCTTCTGTGCGTGCGAGATAGGCAAACGGGGTGGGCACATGTGCTCACTCAGGAATTCTGGCAGGGCAGCATAAGGGCCGGGCTGTCGGGGTTATCCAGCAGCTTCTCCAGTGGGGAGACTTAATTTTAAATATCTCGAGTGCCAAAAGAAATATTCTTGGATCGTGCAAAAGGAAGCTCCCTCGGAAGAGACCCCGAGGCTGGGGGCAAGGGAGGTGTTTGGCTTATGAAGCCGATGAGAGGAATTCACATAGCTTGGAGCAGTAAACGTGTGCTTTGCTTTTAAATGGGCCATCTGAGCCCTGCAGTTAAGAGCATCTCCCATAAACGATGGTAACTTGCAACTGAAAAGCAACATTCCCAACCCATAACGAGCCGGAGGTACCCAAAGGAGCTGGATATGGCCGTGGTGATGTCTCTGCAGCATTTCTATGGCTGGGCCATACAGAAATCTAGTGCTCGGTGCTATGAAATCTAATTACTACAGATCCTGTTCTCCCATCTGCTGAAGGATAAACTTAAAAATCCAGCGTTACCTCTGCTGAACAATAATGTAACAGAAGGGACCTTACAGCACTTTGCTGAAACCTGCTCTCACTCAGAAACTGTGCACGCTTGGCCCAAAGTTGGAGAAAACTATCCTGGACCGTAGGATGTAGAGGTTGCACCATGGGGCTGTTGGGGTGAACTCATGGAGTGGATGGGCTTCCACAATGGACACCCACTGCTACTACATGAAACCACCAGAAGCCTCAGGAGGCTTCCTAGAGCCAACAGGGTAGGGGGGTCTCTCCATTCTTGAACATTGTCCCCTCAGCTAAATGTCTCTAAGGAAGGAATAGCCAGTGAAATAGCCAGGAATACACAGTTCTCCCTCCATACTTCTTTACTGTGAGGGTGACAGAGCCCTGCCCACAGAGGCTGTGGAGGCTCCTTCTCTGGATATCCCCAACCCGCCTGGATGCCCCCCTGTGCCCCGTGCTCTGGGTGTCCCTGCTGGAGCAGAGGGTTGCACTGGGTGATCCCTAGAGGTCCCTTCCAACCCTAAGCATTTCGTGATTCTGTGGAAGCGAAGGCAGCAGTGGCACCAAAGACGAGTATTCATGAAGCCAAGAGAGCCTCCTCCTTCTCCCGAGTGACAGTGCATCCCCTTCTGCTGCTGCAGGACAGACCGCTCAGCAAATCTGTTTTCCCCCGGGTTATTTCTCTACCTGCTGCCCCTGTCTCCCACCCGTGACACCCCTCAGGAGAGCCATGACATCCCCATGATGGCCGTGAGGACTCTAAGGGGCTCGACTCGGGCAGAGCAGCGCCATGGACGCAGCCCACTGAGGCCCACCCACCCTCTAATGTCAATTTAAGCACGTTCGGGCTCAAAAGTTGCCTCTGGTCGCACTTTTTTCCTCAGCGCGGCCACGCGTCGCCTCACACGCACCTTGCGACGGTGGGGGTTGGGGGGGGGGCGGTTTTCCGCTGGGCCA